CTACAGAATGCATATTGTGGTGATCACCATTATCATCTTGGTTATCATTCCTTTGTAAATACATCAATGCCTAATAGCTGGTTGTGATAACATGGAAGATTGACTTACTTGCTACTTGCAAGATAAAAGAACAGTTAGCTTTGTTCCCACTGCCGTCTGTTGCTGAATAAAATACATTGTAGAGTCCTGTGCTTAGATTGGTTGGTGGTCGCAACACAGGGTAGCTCACAGATACATGACCCGAGTTGTCAGTAGCAATTGGCTCTTTCCACCAGATTAAAGCGTAGGATGAACACTTATCAGTGTGGAATACTAAGTTTTTGCGACAAGTTTTATTAAAAGTAGGACGGACGTAGTCTGCAAGAGATCAAAGCCATCAATTTCACCATGACTACCAGCAGTCTTTCTTTCGCTCAAAATCTGAGTTTTGATGGACTTTCATCAACAGTTTATTTGGCTTTTTCCTTGCGTGGTAGAAGGTCTGTTACCTTACGATTTGTGCAGATTACTTCACGGTGCAGATCGCCAACAACTATACAATGTTTTTGTCTACAATCGAACAACTTAGTTCAAAACCCATGACAAAAGCTGCATTATCGTATGTTTACCCTGACTCTCCATATAAAAAAAATGCAGATTGTTATGGAAAACGTTGATAAACGTCCACCGAGTCTTAAAGCGTCGTGTGGCGCCTGTTAAAACAAACTACTATAACTGGGAGGTAAAAAGGATCCACCTGCAAATGTTGTATTGACTCTCTAACTTACAGAAAATTGATACTGACAAGAAAGGCTACGATCGAACCCCATTACAAATTTCAGAGAAGGACAATAATATTTCTGTGCGAGCGGGTTTTTACCCGTTGTGGCCTCCGCGACCTTCCTTTTGGCCTGCTTCATGACCTACCACAATCGATTTTGCTGCGTGAAAATCAGGTATCCTCCAAATGCGCAAGAAAGCACAATGTCACACAGAAATACAACACAAAAACAGTGAGATTACCTCTACAGCGTGTATCGTTTAAGCCAGTCCACCTTCCGTTGCTGCCACAAACTCTTGACGGCGTTCCCTCAAGAATGTATCCGTGTCTTTGGCAAGTAAATGTACATGTCTGGCCAAACTGGCTGGTGAGCTCGCACGAGGATGGAGACATGATCGCATTTTTAGGAGTGATAAGAGGGCCACACTTGATGGCTATGCAACCAAAGAATTAAATCAGGCCAAACAGTTTAGTTTTGTTACTTGCGCACACAAAACAAGCGAACAAAACTGACTTAGAAATATTATTTTCCGGCACACGGCGTCGACATTTCAGTTTTATCTTATAAGATTTTAAGATAAAAACAAGTGTCTCTTGACAATTGCAAAACGCTATCTCCTCTTTTAAAATTAAATTGTAAATGAAGGCTTCTAATATACTTACAGGATGATTGAAATTGGGGGGATACTTTTTTTTACGTGACGTGTTTACATTAACGGTGCACGAGTATAGTTATTTAGGGGATTAAGAATAAGTATCGATCTTTCTTTTTTTGTTTATAACGGCGGGAACATTTTACCTTCACAATACACAGTTTCTCCACTCCAAGTTGCGTTTTCTAGGCACCGCCTAGCATACGAACCAACCAGATTGTAACCAGCATTACAAGCAAAACTGCATCGTGAGTCGTATGGCTCGAAGATGATGCCGCTACAGCCAACCTTTACTCCATTTTTTGGGACAGAAAGTGACAGGCACCTTATTGCTGGAGACAGATTGATATCGAAAGGAAGCCGTTTAAACTTAATCCAACTCCGTGCAAGTAATTTGCTAAAAACGAGAATACCGCAGCTACAAGAAGTATTCGTAAAGGAAACACTGAAAACGCCGGAATTACATATTTTAGTCACGACAAATTTTCTTCGCCAAGTTGCTTTGAAACTCCTTTGGCTTGGAAACTGTACGCGTCTTTCCTCAGTGCGGTTCCCGTGCAACTCCACAGGTTAGACAGCTATAAAATCTTATGCGATTAATTTTTGATATCGAATATACATGGATAAAAACACAAATTGTCTCCTCTCACACAAACCTTTACACGTAGGCATAGAATTGTCCCAGAGTCCTGGAGGTCTGTTACCCGAAGCGAGACACGTGACCACTGACGAGCCATTTATACGATAACCAGTGGGACAGGTAAAAGTACACTGTGCTCCATAATGGTTACCGCAACTACTCATGCGTAGTGGACCAGCTGGATCTATTCTTAGTAATGTGCAATTGATAACTGAGGAGTTGAGTAAAAAGGACAGTGTTTCAATTATTTTCGTTGTTATCGCTGTTAGTGTTATTGTCATTAATCATAAGTGCTTGGTCAAGATTTTCAGTGCAGATCCTACGTTAAAAAGAAACTTGCATTGAGGAGTCGTTTGCGTCATCTATATTATCATAAAGAACGAGAGCGCACGCATCTCATGCCAGCAGCAAAACAAAACGTTACCTATTACTTTCACTGTGAAGCTGCAAGTGGCCTTGTTTCCCGCTTGGTCCACTGCAGAGTACATTATAAGGTGGCTTCCTTGGATGAATCTTTGAGGTGGTTGATAATTCGATGTCAAAGTAGGTACCACTCCAGTGTTGTCAGTGGCAAGAGGTTCGGTCCAGTTAACAACAGATGAGAATTTTCCGCGTTCGGCATACGCTATCAAAGGACTTGCTATACAAGAGGAACCGAATGAAGGAGAAGTGACATCTGCAATTTAATGACATCTGATAAGTAAACTATCAATTCTTTTTTCAACACGAAAAATTGCTCATGTAAGATCTTACAGATAGCTCGTATCAAAAGTCAATTTTAGGTGGCCTCTAATTTTTCCAAACTTTTATTTATCTATTTACTGTCATTATAATTTTATTTTTTACCTGCAGTTTCTTACACGCGGAATTTAGAGGCGATGTATAATGTTTATAAGTATACCTGAACAGTTGGTACCGTTTCTGCTCCACTTTCCGTTGTGTAAACAAGTTGTAGTAACATTTCCGCTTGGGCTTCCAAATCCCCTCTTACAGGCAAACACGCAGTTTGATCCATACGTATTTCCGCAGGAGTCGTTCAGAAGTAACACTCTCGGCGGTATTTTCAAAGGCGGACATGTTACAGCTTTAAAATAAAATAATGGAAAGATTATAAAGTTGAGCATTTTCAAACAGAAATTCTCAAAATCAAGGCTAGACAGCAATTTTTCTTCACCTAAGCACTTTGACAAGGTTGGCAGTCAGCCTAGTTGGCAATCATCCATTTTTAGACTATAAGTTCAACTGTCAACTGAAGAAATAAATTATCGCACACTTACCCTGACAAGTGAAGTTTTGACCACTCCAGCTTCCGTTCATCAGGCACCTTCTCAACGAGGAACCCAATGACTTGAACCCAATACGACAGGAAAATAAACACACTGTGTTAAGAAACTCTTCTAATGTTCCTCTGCAAATCTTTCGAATGCCATTGGCCGGTGTTGGTAGAGCTGGGCAAGTAACAGCTGAAACACATAACAAGCTCGATACATACTTCTTTAATAGAATTGAATTGCTGCATATTGACGTTGTAGAGTTATTTGTGCTGGGCCACTGTAGTACCTGAGCCATTGAACTCATTTAGTAGAAAAAATGCTGCATCGTAAGATTGTCGTCGACTATATACTGTCTGGTTTTAAACGTTTATAAGTTAATCGGCGGTTTTCAGATCAATCATCCATTTACATTTGTAGACTGAGACAAATATTTCAAAATCTGCGCAAAGCGCCTGCTTGGTCATACTTTCTAACAACCAACGTGTACTTGAGGAATTATTGTTTAGGAAAGATTTATGGCAACAACTTGTAAGTGTGTCGTTTAGCCCTTCGTCAGAGCGAATCATTCAATTTCAACTTAGTTGATCTAACCAAATTACCTTTTCTTAATATGTCTATTTTAAAATGTTTTCTTGACAATTCTGCGTACTGACTGTTTATGTTTTGGTCATTCTGTACTGATAACCAGGAAAAGAAAAATTGACCGGAAAGCTGCAACTACCGAAAATAGCCGAAGTAATAACGATAAAAATAATAATAATAAAAATATTAGAAATTATAATAATAATTATAATTATAAAGATATGTAGTGAAATCAACTTCATTTAGACTTGAGATTACTGATGTGCAAGGAACGCTCCTTACAATCGTGTACGTGTATAACTAAAAATTAGAAGTCTATTTATTAAACATACACTGATACCAGGATGTTTCCTTTTACTGAAAAATCAAATCTTCATTGCGCGCAGTGAAGATACCATTTTCATCTTTCACGTGTGAGGATTTTGGTGTCGCCAAGGTTACTAACATGACTAGCCAATTACAAGAGAGCTTGCCGGACTTCTTCATTTGAATATTGACTTTTTGGAACAGAAAATATAAGTATTATTGTCTTTACTTCTCCTTTAGAGCTTTATATCCGGGTTTCATTACATTTTTGTGACAAGCATTTTGCGATAGGTGACTACTTTAATTGCACTATTTTGCTGATTCCAAAATGAATAAAAAAATTGTGTTGTATGTAAAAATTTCATCAGTATTTACAAAAGAAACAGAACATTACATGGCCGCTTGGGGGTACGAATTTTATTTTCTCGTGCTGAAAGTATCTCTCACGAGTGAGCCTCGCTCACTCGTGAGAGATACTTACAGCATTCGATCGAAGATAAAATTTGTTTCCCCGCGTGGCCATGTAATATTCCCTATTTATATATCATTACAATCGCATTACATTACAAGAGAGAAATAAAAGTTTCATGCACATAAGATGCATTTACCGCTTACGTCATCTTATTTTAACTTCAGTAATTTACTTTGAACAAAGAACTACTTCTAGCATGCCTTACTTCTTAGGGAGACTATTCCAAATCCCATTACAAATATAAGAAAAGGAACGATGCCTAAAAGGAAAAGGAAAAAAATACAGCAGCCTGGCTTAGCTTGCTAAGGAGGTAGGGGAATATCCAATGTGTGGAGATCTACTTCCTTAAAAGCGCATGGTTTACCTTTCTGGCACCGGGTCTGATTGCCAGACCATGTTCCATCGTGGTTACAAGTCCTTGTCATTGATCCAGTCAGGACATATCCTCTACGGCAGGAGAACTTACAGGTTTTTCCTGGCAAATTAGAGCATGGCTCAAGACTTCCATTGAATGGCGCAAAAATTTGGGGACAGCGGTTTACTAATTTATAAAACAGACAAGCAAAATATTAACAAAAACAGGGGCAATTAACAGAAAGCTGTCGGAAAAGAGCCAGCCGAAAAAAACATTCCTGGGGCCGTTGCAGAAGGAAAGGTGAGGTAAGGGATGCTTTATGAAAAAATCAGCAAAGCTAAAAAGCAAGCACAAATAAAAAAAAAAAAAAAAAAAAAAAAAAATCGACGATTCATAACATTACAATCACTAGGGCCTGGATGTTAGGTAATAAAAGGTTCACTTATCCGTCTAAAACTGAGTTCTAATATGGCTGGCTACATTATCCAAATTCCAAAGACAAAAGAGATATTGAAGGACCACCTAAAGGCAGTAAGAGTATACCTCCTTGACAAGTTGATGAGTCACCAGGCTTCAGCTGCACTCCCTCTGGGCAAAGGCATTGATAACCATGTGGATTTGGAAGACAGAGGTGACTGCATCCTCCATTCAGATGAGAACAACCGTTTGTACCTAAAAGGCATAGCGGAGAGATCCATCTATACTATGTTATCTTAATAGTAAATTTAAGCCGTTGTCAGGGGTTTACTGAAGAATATATTCTCAATGTAATTTTCGATGAAGGACAATGGTTCACATAGGGAAAAATTCCTAGGAACTATGATCGAGAAATACGGTTAAGAAGGAGATAAACTAGGTTAGACCCGGAGTGAGACAGTACAAAAACTTGAAAAAAAAAAACTCACAAAAATTCAAAGAACTGATTTGGAGAATTTCCATCGTGAATTTCGGGCTTAACCTGACAGCTAAAACATCCCTTTCATCGATACCTACTTCATCTTCAGAGTTGTACTTGTCAGCGTCAATAATCTATTTGTGCAGTAGTTTGTTTCTCATTTTGATCTTGCTCCTTTGGGTTTATAGGTGTTTCTATTTTCAATGCGAGGCAAAACAGCTCATGAACGGCTTTTGCTCTACAGTCAGACCTCGGCTTTAATACGTCTATGGAATCATTATAGGTTACCTTTCACTTCCCACGTGCAAACTGAAGCTTAATAAAGAGAGAGCTCGAGCGTGCTAATGGGATAGCTGGGGTAAAAAATCAAAACCTCACCTACTATTTTTTTCTTGTAAAAGAAATTCCTCTTCAAAATTCCAAGTGTTGATAGAACGCCACTTGCCAGATAAACTCAAAGACAAGTAATTCTTGTCTGACTATTTAACCACTAACTCAGCATAATGTGAGGGTTCTAATTACCCCATTACAACTCTTCAATGTAGAGATTTTTTGAGGAAGATATGACATAGTGAAATATGCATACCATTAAAGATTTTTCCCTGGTCATAGATGTGCAACTCCATTGGTTTTCCCTTTCCACCAACAAATACTTCATCGTGAGAAGATGTCATGTTATATTTATGAACACTTCGGCTCTTCCAATCCGACCAGTAAATGACGTTATCAGAAAGGTCAAGCCCGAATGCATGTAGTCTCCTTGATGCTAAATCAAGTATAAGGTTTCTGTTATTTCCTTGTAGATCCACCCTTTCGATTTTATCGAGTTTAGCATCACACCAGTACAACAGTCTATTTTCGTAATCCAGCGCGAGAGAGTTCACCCACACAAGTCCAGAGCTTACAAGAACTTTCCTGCCAGAACCATCCATATTCGTTTGTTCGATCTTAGGAGAGGATCCCCAGTCAGTCCAATACATAATCCTACAAAAAAGTCATACTTCAGAAACATATTTGCTATTTAGAAGTTAACCTTATAGTTCCTTATCAACGGAACAATCTTCGTTCTAGCTTTAACTGCCAATCGATTTCATCACCAAAAAGGAGATTTGTCTAACGATATCCAGATGAGGCCCGAACATTAACCAGAATAGAGAAAAGCTTTTTGAAAGGAAAATTCCGAAAAAAATACGACTGTTAGGATTACAATACGCTTCCAGGGCAAAGATCAGCCGCATGTTCTTGTTTGCAAAAAGAAAATCGGTTCGGTGTGTATAGTATGGTAAATTACTGGGCGCTAATATCTTCTTAAACCCTGTAGATGGATAAGAAAACAGCCGCCGAAGGCTATTACAATTTAAACACACGGCAAGAAGAGAACAAGAGAACATCAGATAGCTACAAAAGAGATCACGATTCCTTATATGACACAATCAATCAATCAATCAATCAATACTTTATTTACCCACGTAGCGTCAAGGAGCTCAAAGAGCCCGTTCAAAATACGTACGTACGCCTGACGTGTTATATCAGGGAACTTGATTTTAAACTTAAACCGGACCGTAGAAAATATTTCAGTCCAGTATTAATAAAATACTAGAGCTCTGTAGCTTAGAAGTACCTTTCAGCAATGTCGAGGATTATAGCTCTCGGCTTTTGGATACCTGATCTAATGAGTATTCTTCTAGATGACCCATCTAACCGAGATACCTCAAGTTTACTTGTTCCATAGTCAGTCCAGTAAAGATTTCGTCCAATGTAATCTACAGCTATACCATCAGGATTATCTACATTATTGTAGGCAACTATTTCAACGGAAGACCCATTAGGATATCCTCGAGCGACTAGCTTTAAGGTCACATCTGTCCAGTAAATTTTTCCCTCGACTGGATCATAATCAATAGCTACAGGTCTTGCGATGCTTGTGTTGATTGGCAATGAATGACAAGAGGTTTTTGGCACTGTCAAAGAAGTCTTGTAAATTTCTCCAAAATTAGCTTCAGCGAAGATCATAAATTTTTTATTCTGTACCTCTCTGAACAAACCTTGATGGGAAGAAGATAGAGATAATTCAATCAAACGCCTGAAACGATCGGGGGTATGCAATGGCCATATCTAATGACTAACAAGACACTTTCAGTTTCGGAACCATTCATAATCGTTCTAGTTATTTCTTAGAGTTTGGACTGTTGTGCAAGGGTACTGCTTTATGAATTCAGTTTTTGACGTTTCAAGTTTCAGATTAAAACAAAGTCGAAGAGGTTGGTTGATCTGGTGTGAAGAACCACCCAAGGCAATCCGCTCAAACATCATACACCACGGACGCATGGAGCCACAAGCTAATTATAGTGTTCAGGTGTTGAGACAAGACTAAAACTGATATCAAGTTTTATTTGAACTCACAAAACATATTCTTTGCCTCCATTCCTTGAACCAACAATGTAAAAATTTCGATAAATCTTACCTTATTTAATAATGTAAATGTTTTTGTTCAAACGTACAAACGGGCGAAAGCAGATGGCAAGAAATTCAATTGCTGCGTTTTGCCGTTCATCGTTAGGTCGCTCTAAACTACTCTATCATGAAAATAAGAGGAGTTTCGCAATTTTTTTAATAGCAGTATCTATTCCCGCGTCAAAACCTCCAAACTAGATAAGGAATTCGAAGAGCCAGATTATGGGCTTTCTCTCTCTCGCCGATAGGAACCTGACAACGTGTCAGGTAATAGTTTTAATTGCCATTTGATAACTACTGCAGACTAATGTATTGTCAATTGAATTTGATTGCGATGGAAAATTTGATGACAACTCAGAGAGAAAAAATATCGTACTTACTATAGTCACAGTTTTTTCCGTCAGACTTTAGCGCAATTCCTGTTGGACACGCACACTGGTATCCACCAGGCTTCAGGAGACAAAAATCACTACACAACCCGTTGCTTTGATTGACACAGGCATGTGTGCCTGGAGATAAAAGGCAAATGCTTTACAAAAAGACAACAACAACAACGAGGAAAAAAAAAAAGAAAAACAAAAAACAAAAAAAAACAAAAAAAAACATTACACACACACGCATACACCTCCGCTAAGTAGAAAAAAAAGAAAAACATCCAAAACTAAAGCTATAACAAACTATGATTTAGCTTTTGTGAGCAAATTAAGCTAAACCGAATCAAAAGTGGTCAGAAAAGTAATTTGCTAAAAGTACATATCTATGTTAAAATTCCAGTATAAATAAAGACTGAGATATACGGTAAGTTTTGTCATAATTCAAGATAACGTTAATATATTTGAATATTCTGGTTAGTGGTTAGCATCGTTGGTACCACCTAAATTAACAAATGGTAAACACCACAGCGTACACTATTGAGTTATGGATGCACGCGGGAGGTTGCTAAGCACGAAAGAAGCGTAAGAGTCGCTCTCGGCTATCGCCTCGAGCGACTCTAGCTTCCTGAGTGCTTAGCAAACCTCCCAAGTGCATCCATAACTCAATAGTGTACGCTGTGGTGTTTACCATTTGTTTTATAACATAACATTAATACATTGTAGCTAAAGAGTTCCCTTTTATTTAACAAATCTTACGAGACCAGGAAAAAACAAGCACGCGCGGAAAAATAGTCTTTGCATTTACTCACGTCAGCAGCGTACACCCATGGGCAAATGGGGGACGCTAAATTGACCAATCAGAGCGTGCGCTTTACTTTGGTTATGTTATAACATCTGTTCAAGAGAGTAGAAATTAATGGGAGGATGGGAGGCGGGTTGGGGGGGGGAGTTGCCAGTCTAAAGTCATCGAGTGTAAATTCTGCAGATGCTTATATACGTGTCACCCAATCTCAAGGAAGTATTACAAACCTTCATGACAGGGCAGGCGAGGTATTAATGAGAGACAAAAACAATACCATCTTAGTTTGATGACAAAAGGAACCTTACCTGAATACATTAAAGATGGATCAAATACGTGAACGTCCATAGGCTTTTTAAGGCCACTCACGACCGTCTCCTGGTTTTTACTGCTTAAATCGATACGCAAAATACTCTTCTTTTTCCAGTCAGTCCAGTACAAAAAGTTCTGATAAAATGTTAGGCCAAAAGGATGGATATCAGTTCCAGATGACATTATGATCTTTCTGTTTCCTCCATTGAGGTCTGACATCTCTATTTTGTCCAGTTTGGCATCAACCCAATAAAGCTGGTTCGAAGCTTTGTCAATAGCAAGTCCGTTCGGCCAGACAAGATTTCCAGTTATGATGGATTGTCTTGCTGAGCCATCCATCGCGGCTTTTTCAATCTTTGGATTGGCTCCCCAGTCTGTCCAGTACATCATTCTATACCCATTAGGAGCACATACAAGCATCAGTCATAACTAAAGACTAAAGATAATGGATGTAACCAAGTTGCGGCAGTGCACACTGTTCATCGGAATTATTTCAATCAATTTCTCTGTTTTTTACCACGATTGGCAGTAAAGTATTTCGTAACCTGAATGGCCTGTTTGCCGTTGTTGATACGTGAATAAAAACACTGCTATCGTCAACACGCAACGTGTCACGTCCTGAAATAATTGTTTTATTTGAAGTCGATATTTTGGTAAAAAAATTCGACAGTGGCTTAGCTTAGTCTTAACTTTTAACAACAACAATATTCATCATCGCAGTGGTTGAAATTTTACAGTGGCGACGAATATCGT